GATGAGCCTCTGGGTGATGGGCCTCTGGGCGATGGGCCTCTGGGTGATGGGCCTCTGGGTGATGGGCCTCTGGGTGATGGGCCTCAGGAGAGACATGGTCGTACGGTTCCCCCATGCCGACCTGGGATCTAGCCATGGTTCTCGAAGGGCTGTGCTTGGCCCCCTTCGAACCCCTGTACCTCCAAGCCCTTTCTGTGTCTCCTTCGAGCCTGGAGTTTGCCCCTGCGAGAGTTAAGGCCATCTTCACCCTAGACCTGGCTATGTGCCCAAGGTGCCTTCTATATAATAATAAAATAATAATAATTCGTTACATTTTATATAGCGCTTTTCTGGGTACTCAAAGCGCTTTACATGGAAGGGGGGGAATCTCCTCAACCACCACCGATGTGCAGCTCCACCTGGATGATGCGACGGCAGCCATACTGTGCCAGAACGCCCACCACACACCAGCTTACTGGTGGAGAGGAGACAGTGATGAAGCCAATCAGTATATGGGGATGATTAGGAGGCCATTATAGACAGAGGCCAAGGGGCAAATGGCCAGGACACCGGGGTTACACCCCTACTCTTTTTCAAAGGACATCCTGGGATTTTTAATGACCACAGAGAGTCAGGACCTCGGTCAGGACGGTGCTCTCTGACAGTGTAGTGTCCCCGTCACTACACTGGGGCGTTAGGACCCACACAGACCACAGGGTGAGCGCCCCCTGCTGGCCTCACTAACACCTCTTCCAGCAGCAACCTGGTTTTCTCAGAAGGTCTCCCATCCAGGTACTGACCAGGCTCAGCCCTGCTTAGCTTCAGTGGGCAACCAGTCTTGGGCTACAGGGTGATACGGCTGCTGCTATATGCCTTAGTTAACAAGGGTTACAGTCGTAACCCGAGACGTTTTCTAAATGTCACATCAGGGCAAGTTGTCATGTGTATTTTTATTAGATTAGAGTTAGTTTTTGATGTAGAACACTGGTTTCATATTTTGTGTGAAACCTTTTATATATTTGCTGTTTTTATGTGTTGGATAAATCCATGTTACCTAAGTTCTGTAATAAATATGTCATAATTAAGGTATTTTGGTGGTTACGATGAACATTTTGTCAGGTTAATGTAACATAATTTGAATGTGCCTGGTTGATTATCTCTGACTGTCAAATATGTACCCAGAGTCCTTTATTTGATTACATTTCAATAAGATCCCAGGTTTTACAGCTCTGAAACACACAGTAGTGTTTGCTGTGTCAACACTGTTACACCCTAACAGAACTTTCCAGAGCAATTGAAACCAGTCCTGCATCTGTAAGTGAAAGGCTAATCTACTTACTCCAACTCTCCACAGGGTCACATGATCTCCATTGGGTCACATGATCTCCACAGGGTCACATCACGTGTTCACCCATGACCAGTGAGCGGCTGCATTCATTTGCATATGCAGAGATAACACTGCTGTTTAGATTAAGCTCTAACTATATCAGGCTATTAGCAGTTTCAAAGGTCAGCAGGAATGCCTCGTTATGGTTTCCCTGGCAGGGCTTTACTGGAGAGAGTTTGCCTTGTGTTCCCAGGGTGGAGTATTTGTGAACTTCTGAAGGGTGCATTTGTTCTGTGTTTGTTGGCACAGATACAGTGTATAGACACTTAAATCACACTTTAACATGTAGTATTTGTGGTGGCAGTTATTCCTGAGAAAAGCAGTTTGTTTGCAAATGCCACTCGGTTTGATATTCTAATGCCTGTCACAAATGTCAATCATATTTTCATGAGTTTTTAAATTTGACTGTGATTTATATACTATCATAGTTTACGTTGTAGCAATATTTTAGTGTTAGCTTTCAATTATATTTTTTATTTTAATTTTAGTGATTTTTTTAGTGATTTTGTTGAAATGAAGTTTTAGTTTTTATTTAAATGCATGTTTTTAGGTTTAATTTGTTTTCATTTCAGGTTTATTCAGTTTTTTTGTGTTATTTTTAACAGCTAATTTATGTAAACAATAATAACCCTGGTGTCTGCGCTCTCTCTTCTCTGTCTGTTTTTAAGGAAAAGAGTTCATAGTTTTGTTTTTGTGTATTTGACTTCCAGCTCCTTTAAACTGCAAAATACAATGAAGAGGCTTTATTTCCCCTGCAGTTTCCCTCGGGATCTGACTTTGATGTTTCTCACAGTATCTGCAGTCGGCCTGGACATCTGGGAGCCGTGTGTGAGAGGGAGTGAGTGTGTGTGTGTGTCTGTGTGTGTGTGTGTGTGTGTTTGTCTGAGAGTGTGTGTGTAAGTGAGTGTGTGAGTGTGAGTGTGTGTGTGTGTGTGTGTAAGTGAGTGTGTGTGTGTGTGTGTGTCTGAGTGTGTGTCTGAGAGTGAGTGTGTGAGTGTGAGTGTGAGTGTGTGTGTGTGTGTAAGTGAGTGTGTGAGTGTGAGTGTGTGTGTGTGTGTGTAAGTGAGCGTGTGTGTGTGTGTGTGTATATGTGTCTGAGTGTGTGTCTGAGAGTGAGTGTGTTAGTGTGTGTGAGTGTGAGTGTGTGTGTGTGTGTGTGTGTGTGTAAGTGAGTGTGTGTGTGTTTGTTTGAGTGAGTGTGTGTTTGTGTCTGAGAGTGTGTGTGTAAGTGAGTGTGTTAGTGTGTGTGAGTGTGAGTGTGAGTGTGAGTGTGAGTGTGAGTGTGTGTGTGTGTGTGTGTGTGTAAGTGTGTGTGTGTGTGTGTGTTTGTTTGAGAGTGTGTGTGTGTGTAAGTGAGTGTGTGAGTGTGAGTGTGTGTGTGTGTGTCTGAGTGTGTGTCTGAGAGTGAGTGTGTGTGTGTGTGTCTGTGTGTGTGTGTGTGTGTTTGTCTGAGAGTGTGTGTGTAAGTGAGTGTGTTAGTGTGTGTGAGTGTGTGTGTGTGTGTGTGTAAGTGAGTGTGTGTGTGTGTGTGTGTGTGTGTGTGTGTGTGTCTGAGTGTGTGTCTGAGAGTGAGTGTGAGTGTGTGTGTGTGAGTGTGTGTGTGCGTGTGTGTGAGTGTGTGTGTGCGTGTGTAAGTGAGTGTGTGTGTGTGTGTGTGTCTGAGAGTGTGTGTGTAAGTGAGTGTGTGTGTGTGTGTGTCTGAGAGTGTGTGAGAGAGTTACTATAGTGCATTAACTAAACTTAGTTTCATAAATGTAGTGAATGTTGAAATTAACGAAGTAAATACTTCTATAGCATTTATTAATCATATTTAATGGCATTGGAACCCTGACCATCTTTAGATATCAACACTATAAGACTAGTTTCCAGAATCAGATCGCGACGGTCATCCTAGTGTGTATGCACTGGTGTAACGTGATTAAATAGTAGCAACTTTACACGCCGCTCGCTAACGCTAACCTAGATACATGTGTGCTATTGTTAGGCGCATATCCTAGTGCTAGGAAGCTGAAGGATAGCGCTTTACTGCATCTAGTCTACAAACCGGTTATTTAAAATATGACCGTGTGTTCTGTAGTGCATTTGCATTGTGGGAAGTGTCTCATCACCATCGGACTCCTCTCAGTGTGCAGCGTCTCAAGCCCACAGCACGAGGCGTGGGAGTGTGGATGGGCCTCTAGGGGGCGCTGTTGTGCTGAGGGAGAGTCAGCGATCGGTGAGGTCACATGACTGGCCAAGACTCACGGCAAGCTTTTACACAGAACATCATTCAGCACACTTGCACCTGCTGCTTTGGCACAGGCCTCATGCCGTAGTTCTGGCGCTGTGATGTGTGTGAAAGACACTCGTTTAGAGACACGATCTTTAAGAAGACGAGCTTTCACAGAGTCTCGTTCGGCTGCGGTTTGAAAAGACTTGCAGTGACATCATCCGCATCGATGACCATTGATGTTTCTGCATATCTCATCACAATCCTGCCCTCCACTGTATCAAATCTGCTGTCAGAATTATTCAACTCATTAATAAACATTTGACTATTACTTACAGAGCGAGCAGCCTTTTAGATTTTACCCATTAATGTGGTGTAAATCCAGCGTTTAATGTTGTTTATGTGTCTATGTGGTGTTTTTAATACGCTTTAAGACACACCATGTGTAAGTTCATAAGTCGACAGCATTGCTGAGTATTTTCTGCTTAAAACTGCAGTGAACCAAAGACAGTCTCAAAAACACGGTTTGAAATCGCTGGTGTTTCTGACGTCACAAACGACCTTGTAACCAATCAGATCAACGTGTGATCGTCAACCAGTGGATCTCTGAGCTGAGGGAGTGAGTGGAGGCGGGGCTCATTTGCATATTCATCGAACCGCGCATACTAAATGAGGCAAGGGTGTCAAGTTACATTCAAGATATTTTAAGGCATGAAGACATTTTTTAAAGGAAAAAAAAAAACATTTAAATATGTCATTTTGAGTTTTAAGGGATACAATTATTGACTACAGGGGACTTTAAAAAATTGCGTTCTATCTTATATTTAAACTCAGATTTTGCCTTGTGAACTTCCGCCCTTAACCGTCTCCTAATTCCACATTACCGCTACAGAAAGCAGCGCTCCTTCCATGAAGACAGCCTTCCTCTGGTTCAGATGCCCAGGGCTTGTTATGTGAGACCATTTTCACAGCTTTAGTTTCAGACACAATATCTTCACAGAATGTGATATACATACGACATAATAAGTGTCTGTAAGTTGATCCGCGTTCTGTCAGGATTGAAAGGAAATGTCTGACAGGAGATGAATTACATGGTCAGATTTCCATCGGGATGTTCCCGTAAGAGCGATCAGTAGTTCGGTGTAAAGCAGTGGGACAGTCCACATGCGGAAGAGTAGAGCATGTATAAACATACACTCGCATCTGTGGGAAAGCAGTACCATGAAGCTCCACTAGATGGAGGCACACACACACACACACACACACTCAGGAGCCAGATTCCAGTGAACACATGGCACATGTGAGTGTTTGGGACGTGTGTTTGGGTGTGTTGGAGTTAGCTGTGGTCCGTGAGCATGTGTACGGCCAACACCCTCGCTCTCCTCGAGAGCACAGCTGAGCTCTGACTCTCTCTGTCCCCAGCAGGAGAAGAGCAAGATGCCGGCGCCGGGCTCCGTCTCCACTGCAGGACTGGCGTGAGGTTCCACTGGAGAATCATCGTTCGTGAGGATGGCGGCGACCACGCCCACCTTAGCCCCGCCCCCCAAGAAGAGCCGCGGGAAACCAGAGGCAGAGACTCTACAGGCCAATGAGGAGCTGAGGAGCCGACTGAGCGATGTACAGCACGAGCTGCAGCAGGAGAGAGGGAAGGTACACACACACACACACACACACTACACACACACACACACACACACACTACACACATACACACACACACACTACACACTACAGGAGAGAGGGAAGGTACACACACACACACATACACACACACTACACACTACACACACACACACACACACACACACACTACACTACACTACACACACACACACACACACTACACACTACAGGAGAGAGGGAAGGTACACACACACACACACACACTACACACTACACACACACACACACACACACACACACTACACTACACACACACACACACACACTACACACTACAGGAGAGAGGGAAGGTACACACACACACACACACACACACTACACACTACACACACACACACACACACACACACACACACTACACTACACACACACACACACACACTACACACTACAGGAGAGAGGGAAGGTACACACACACACACACACACTACACACACACTACACACCACACACACACACACACACACACACACACACACACACACACACTACACTACACACACACACACACACACTACACACTACAGGAGAGAGGGAAGGTACACACACACACACACACACACACACACTACACACACACACACACACACACACACTACACACACACACACACACACACACACACTACAGGAGAGAGGGAAGGTACACACATACACACACACACACACACACTACACACACACACTACACACACACACACACACACACACACACACTACACACACACACACACACACACACACACACACACACACACTACACACACACACACACACACACACACACTACACACACACACACACACACACACTACACACACACACACACACACACACACACTACACTACACACACACACGCACACACACACTACACACTACAGGAGAGAGGGAAGGTACACACACACACACACACACACACACACACACATACACACACACACACACACACACACACACACTACACTACACTACACACACACACACACACACACACTACAGGAGAGAGGGAAGGTACACACACACACACTACACACTACAGGAGAGAGGGAAGGTACACACACACACATTCACAGTCTCTCTCTCACACACACACACACACACACACACACATACACACACACACACATACACACTACACACACACTACAGGAGAGAGGGAAGGGAAGGTACTGCACATTGATCCCAATGAGATTTCGATCGGATTTAAAGCGGCGGTTTATTCCTTTTCTAATCCGATCGAGAGAACATATAAACACCTAATCGGACTGAAAAACGAAACTTAAAGGACTGCGCATGTGCGATGACGGATAATTAGCATAATGATGTAGAAATAGCGTAATGATATAGAAATAGCGTAATGATGTAGAAATAGCGTAATGAGGTAGAAATAATCGGGCAATGACGTAGAAATAGCGTAATGACATAGAAATAATCGGGCAATGACGTAGAAATAGCGCAATGACATAGAAATAGCGTAATGACGTAGAAATAGCGTAATGAGGTATAATGACGTAGAAATAGCGTAATGACGTAGAAATAATCGGGCAATGACGTAGAAATAGCGTAATGACATAGAAATAGCGTAATGACGTAGAAATAGCGTAATGAGGTATAATGACGTAGAAATAGCGTAATGACGTAGAAATAGCGAAATGATGTAGAAATAGTGCAATGACGTACATTTACATTTACATTTACATTTAGTCATTTAGCAGACGCTTTTATCCAAAGCGACTTACAACTGAGGACTAAACCAAGCGAGTCATCGTGAAGAGGCAAAAGCAACGCAAGAAGTGCTCAAAATACAAAGTTCAGCCATAGCTCGGAGTAGCATAAGCCAGGCAAGCGAGGATTTAGAGGAAAGGATTTTTTTTTTTTTTTTTTTTTTTTTTTTTTTTTTTTTTTAAGTTAAGTGCTCCCGGAAGAGATGAGTTTTCAGTTGTCTTTTGAATGTTGTCAGGGATTCTGCATTCCGGATGAGGGTGGGGAGATCATTCCACCAGCATGGAACCGTGAATGAGAATGTTCTGGAGAGTGATTTTGTGCCCCGCTGTGATGGTACCACGAGCCGTCGCTCATTGACCGATCGTAGGCTTCTGGTAGGGATGTAGACTTGTAGTAGTGAGTGGAAGTAGGAGGGAGCTGAACCTGTGGTCAATCTGTAAGCAAGCGTCAAAGCCTTGAACTTGATGCGAGCAGCGAGTGGTAGCCAGTGCAGAGAGATGAGCAGAGGAGTGACGTGGGCCCTTTTGGGCTCGTTGAAGACCAGACGAGCTGCAGCATTCTGGATCATTTGTAGAGGTTTAGTTGCACATGATGGAAGTCCAGCCAGAAGAGCATTGCAGTAATCAAGCCTAGAAATGACCAGGGCCTGGACGAGAAGTTGTGTTGCATGCTCAGTTAGGAAAGGCCTGATCTTCCTGATGTTGTGCATAGCAAACCTGCATGATCGAGCTGTCTTTGTAATGTGTTCTGTGAAGGTCAGCTGATCATCAAAGATTACTCCAAGATTTCTGACCGACCTTGATGGGGTGATTGAGGATGAATCTACCTGGATAGTGAGGTCGTGCTGAAGAGACGGATTGGCAGGGAGGACGAGAAGCTCAGTCTTTGCCAGGTTGAGCTGCAGGTGATGTTCCTTCATCCATGCCGAGATGTCCGCCAGACAGCTTGAGATCCGTACAGCTACTGTGGGATCATCTGGTTGAAATGAGAGGTAGAGCTGGGTGTCATCAGCATAGCAATGGTAAGAGAAACCATGTGCCTGTATGATAGGTCCCAGTGATGTGGTGTAAATGGAGAAGAGGAGCGGTCCGAGAACTGAACCCTGAGGAACGCCTGTGGTCAGTTGATGTGCTTTGGATACCTCACCTCTCCATGTGACCTTGAAAGACCTACCTGTGAGATAGGACTCAAACCAGTGGAGGGAGGTTCCAGTGATGCCCAGTGATGAGAGGGCGGACAAGAGGATCTGATGATTCACAGTGTCGAAGGCAGCAGACAGGTCCAGTAGAATGAGAACTGATGATTTGGAAGCAGCTTTTGCGATCCGCAGGGCTTCCGTGACTGACAGCAATGCAGTCTCAGTTGAATGTCCTTTCTTGAAGCCAGATTGGTTGACATCCAGCTGGTTGTTCAGAGACAGGAAGGATGATACTTGGTTAAAAGCAACTCGTTCAAGTGTTTTTGCAATGAATGGTAGGAGAGAGACAGGTCTGTAGTTCTCTAGAAGTGATGTGTTTAATGTTGATTTTTTAAGCAGAGGGGTTACCCGAGCCTGCTTAAATGCTGTAGGGAAAATGCCAGTGTGGAGGGATGAGTTGATAATGTGTGTGAGAGCTGGTAGAAGTGTGGGAGAGATGGCTTGTAGAAGGTGTGAGGGGATGGGGTCTAGAGGGCAGGTGGTAGGATGACTGGAGAGGAGAAGTTTAGATACTTCTTCCTCGGTTAGTGGAGTGAAGGAGGAGAGAAGGTTATTGGCTGTGGGAGAGGTTAGTCTGGGTTCCTGTGCTGAGAACTGACTGCTGATAGTGGTAGTTTTGTTAGTGAAGAAGTTAGCAAAATCATCAGCAGTTAAAGAGGAGGTGGGTGGTGGTGGAGGTGGACAGAGGAGAGAATTGAATGTCTTGAACAGTGAACGTGTGTTAGAGGCGCTGTTGATCTTGTTGTGGAAATATGAAGATTTTGCGGCGTGAACATCAACAGAGAAGGCAGAGAGCAGAGATTGATACCTACTGAGGTCAGATGTGTCTTTTGATTTGCGCCATTTCCTCTCCGCTGCCCTGAGCTTGGTCCGGTGTTCACGAAGAACCTCAGATAACCAGGGGTTAGAGGGAGTGGTGCGTGCTGGCCTAGAGGAGAGAGGGCAGATATTGTCTAAAGAAGAGGTTAGGATGGAGCATAAAGTATCAGTTGCAGTATTCACATCCAGAGATGAGAAATGTGAGGGTGAGGGAAGAGAAGATGACACAGCAGAGGAAAGATGGGATGGAGAAAGTGAGCGCAGGTTTCGTCTGAAAGTAAATGGTGGGGAGGTTGGTGGAGCATGGGTAGTGAGTTGTAGATTGAAAGTAATGATGAAATGATCTGAAACTTGGAGAGGTTTCACCAAAATGTTGTCTGTGATACAGTTGCGTGTGTAAACCAGGTCCAGTTGGTTGCCTGACTTGTGAGTACCGGTGGTGATGAGCCGTTTGAGATCGAAAGAGGCTAGGAGAGAGATGAAGTCTGTTGCATACGGCTTCGCTAGGTGAATGTTGAAATCGCCAAAGACTACAAGTGGGATGCCATCCTGAGGGAAAGAGGACAGCAACACATCCAGCTCTTCTACAAAGCTTCCTAGTTGACCTGGGGGGCGATAAATAACTACAATATGGATCTTCATGGGAGTTGTAAGTGTAATAGCATGATATTCAAATGAGTTGTTATTGCATAGAGAAGAGAGAGGTGAATATTTCCAATTGTTAGAAATAAGAAGACCAGTGCCCCCACCCCTCCCGGACTGGCGAGGTGTGTGAGAGAAAGAGAAGTTGTTAGAGAGAGCAGCAGGGGTTGCTGAGTCTTCTGGACGGATCCAGGTCTCAGTCAAGCCCAAGATATTAAGAGTAGAATGAGATGCAAAGGCTGGAATGAAGTCAGCTTTATTGACTGCTGATTGACAATTCCATAGACCCATAGAAAGAGTGAGAGGTGAGTGTGAGGATGAGAGAAACGGGCGCAGATAAGCAGTATTGCGCTGCCTTCTGTGCGTGGTGAGAGAGCGTTGTCGAGAGACAACAGGAATGTGTTCAAAGCACATAATGATAATGGGAAATAAGATAAAGGTAGGAAAGGACAGGGTGAAGAAGATACTTTAAGTGCCTTGCAGGTGTCCTTGCTCGGTGGAGTCGCGCAGGTAGAGTCGCAGGTCTTTACCCGAGTCGGTCTTCACACGAGAGCTGAACACGAGAGCTGAATGCTTCCGCTG